GGAAGATTGTAGATTGTATTGAATTTAATACGTCTCCAACAAAAGTTGCACATGTGATTGGTCTTACAGTGTACTTTTTGCTGAGGCAGGAGTGACTGGATCATTTTTAGATGTTTTCATGTTCTTGGTGCTTTTTTTTGGGGGGGTGGGGGGTGGGGGGGGCAGCTCTTATGTGCTGCTTGCAACAACCACCAAATCAAAGAATTAGTGAAAGACAGACTCAGTGACACAACTGTATTCAGTCACTAAGCAGGATTTGTGTTGTTTCATGTCCCACGTTAAAACTTAGCCTTACCTTTATCGTGTGTTTTAACATCTCATGTGTGTTTGTGTGTGTGTGTGTGTGTTTGTGTGAAGCAGGTAGGCACTTTAAGTCTCTGCAGGCTGCCTTCAGAGCGTATCAATATAACTGACAGCACTAATGGTGCAATAACTCTAACCATCAGGCGACTAAAAGCTTGATTTCACAGAATGTTTTGCATAATCAGCTTTTTAGTATATATTTGTGATGAGTTTTTTTTCCTCCAGCATTTTGCTATTTGCATATAAAACCCATATTTTCACTTCCATTCACAGGATGAGTGTCGTAACTTCATCAAAGTGCTGCTCAGCAGACAAGGAGGCTTGTTTTTGTGTGGGACCAACGCCTTCAACCCGCTGTGTGCCAACTACACTGTAAGTTAACACTCTCTGTCACACATGTCAGGCTCTCTGCACCTCTTCCACATCCGTTAGTGGGCTGACAAAACCCCAATTCATGGAACAGCTTTAATATACATAGTTTATCTTAATTTTCATTTGAGAGGTCTTGCCTCTAATGTTTAATTATGATTGCTGAGGCAAAAACCTTCAGCTTGATCAGAGATGTTTGAGGTGTTGTTTACTTATAGTCTTTCTTTCTGACACTTCTAAAATTGTGTTTTTTTTCTGAGAACTAATTGTTATTTCCTGGTGATTGTGGTTTGCCAAGCTTAAAGCAATAGTTCAGCTCTTTACAGTTTGGGGTTCTGCGTAAAGGTTATAAACCAGCTCCTTAATGACTTCAGTTTGGAAAGATAGATTTTTTGAGTTTACGGCTCAAAAATAGCTCCTGCCTTTATGTTCTTGCAAATATCAAGATATCTATGCACATATTTCATGTAAAAATTTATAGAATTTATTTTTTTTTAAATCTGCAAATTATTTTTTTAGATTTGAAGTTCAAGATGTCGTTAATTCCCTTCGGTTCTGGTCCTGCTCGGACTATCTGCCAGCTCGTCCATTTCTTCAAAATTAAACTTTACTTCGCCAAGCAGTTTAAAAGTGATATTTTATTTTATGTTTGTGATTTTTGAAGACTTGTTAAACAATTTATGGGGGTTATATAAACTGTCTCAACAAAATCTTCTTTTTAAAGGTTTGAAATACAAAAAAATCAAGTAAAAGAAACAAAAAGGGAGAAGGTAGGACGGCCTGAGAGTAAAACTGGAGATGTAATTTGTTTATCTGGATGGATTTATGTTTGTTTAATTACAATGTTGCTTGTGGTTACAAAAAAGAGAGAATCTCACTTAAATGAAGAAATAAAAGCAGACATCAGAGCTACACATGGAACCGCTGCTGGCCCGGTCCAATCAGTTATTTTCAGTGTTTTCAGAATCTCACCCAAACTGTCCCAGAAATGCATTTGTCAAATCCAGAAGGTTTGTACCCATCAAGCAGCAGCTCACCTGAATCCCCCTTCATTCAACACGCTCCATTTTTCAGCCAATCTCTGTCTCCCTCAATTACAGTAACAATTTCCAAACTGGCAGAAGAAAAACTACACATAAATATTAAAACACTCGCGCCAGCTGACTTCCCATCACTCTGCAGACATTTTAAAAGAATTGCAGGTAGAAGCGGGCGGAATTACAATCAAAGGCTTTTTTTCATATGTGTTATTTTCATTTTCTCACATTTAGTGCAACAGTGAAACAAACCTGGCCTGTTATCCGTCAGCCGCTAACGACATCCTGCAACAAAACTAAAGTCTGCCTGATTGGCTGGCTGTTCCTCGGGAGACTAGTTAGTGATGCAAGCTACATGTTCGTTTATTGTAGAGTTCAATTAAATGACATTTATAAACGAGTTTCATAGTGGATGAGAACCATTGTGTAAAAGTGCTTTTTTTAAATAGGTGACATAGCTGCTTGTGGCCCTTCAACATACAGTGTGTGTAGAACTGACAGCAGCCTGACTGCATGAAGATGGAAGTGTGCATACACAGGCTGCAAACTTATGTAAAAGAGAAATAAGACTTCATGTGGGGTGTCACCATATGTGTGTATTTGTCTCATTTGTGTATGAGAATGTAGTTCTCTTGTTGTGTCGGCTGTGTCTAATTGTCACCAGTGAATCATTAGTCTGCACTTTCAATAACGCTCACTAATTGCCTTTCTCCTGTGGCTTGTTTTCACGCTGCTGATGCAGATGCATTTATATTGTTTGGAACGTGCTGATTGAAGACTGTGTCTTGTTTGTCTGTTGTGTGCGTGTGCGCGTGTGTGTGTGTGCACGTTATTTAACAGGGAGACACTTTGGAGATGATAGGGGACCCGGTCAGTGGGATGGCGAGATGTCCGTATGACCCCAAACACGCGAACGTTGCTCTGTTTGCAGGTGAGATGCGTTCGCTGTCATTACGTTTTCACCACCGTTTAAACTGTGCAAAAAATACTTATATTTTGCTGTGAAAGTTCAGCCTTCAACTTTAATTTGTTCTTTGTTCCCTCTCTCTTGTTTACTTCATCAGCTGTAAACACTTGACTAATAAAGTAATCATCAGTGCTCGGCAGCTGAAAGTGGACAGAGCAATTACTGATCATCGTATTTTGTTTGTTTTGCTGCAATGATTATTCTGTCTGGTCAGCTATCAGGTTTATGATAATCATCATTTTGCTCTACTGTTTCTAGTTATGCATAGGATTAGGCACCCCTGGGTGTTTTTTTTTCACCTATTATCGACGTGGAATTAAACATAAATCTACAAATTAGGTAAAATGGTCTTATTTTTATGATACTGGGTTTTGAATGACTTTAAAATGAAAAAAAAAAATAATTGTAAAATCACCATTCAAAAGTTTGGTCATCCAAGTGATTCAAGCTCTTTCACACACTCAGTGTTTTTAAAGACTGATTTATTCCAAGTTTATGTCTTTATAAATGCTGTACTTTTTGCAGTGTAAGTCACACCTTTTTTGCATAAATTATCATGCCCTGTGAATTATATTGCAAAGCAAATTATTTATTTATTTATTTATTTTCCCGTATTTATAACCCAATTTTTGGCTGAGGTCTGACAATTTCATTCATTCTGACATAGAAAATTTTGAACACTACCATTTTCAGCCAGTAGAGGGCCTCGAGTAATATGGCAAGCCAAGTGTCTCATTAATAGGTAAAAGTGGCTATTAATGAGACACTCGGCTTGCCATACAATCCACCTTCGTCTCGCGCCAGAACTCCTGGAGCAAACATCAAATCAGTTGCATTTTGCCGCACTACCCAGGCGAAATGCAACTGATTTGACCATTAAAGTGCATTTATTAAGGGGAGGTCAAACTGAGACACACCTTTACTATAATGTCAAGCAAACAAATAATTGTTTTTAGGTGGTTATCTTGGTAAATTTTCAAAAAATGTGCAGCGAGTCGTCCCTGTAAGTGCTCCAGCAGCCGCGACTCGGCTTTTGAAATGCAGCTGATTTGACCGTCAAAGTGCATTTATTAAGGACAAGTTCAAAAGAGACACACCTCTGCTATAATTTCGAGCAAACAAATAATTGTTTTAAAGTGATAATCTAGTTAAATTCTTGTTAAAGTCCTCCCATGCACGCTCCCGCAGCCATTCGATTTTTGGCACACCGGCCCACGTTTCCGGTTTGTCAGTGGTGACGCATAACAAACGCGACGCGTCAGCGGTGACGCGTAATAGATGTGACATATGGTGAAGCAACTTATTCATGTTTTTTTCCACTTTATTAGACATATTTAGACTGATACGACTTGTGCGGCGGTGCGATGTGTACGGTGGCAAGCACGGTACCTTGATCCCACAAATCCTTCAGATTCTCTGCTTCCTAAAATTCAAACTCTTCATACCCTGAAGAGATGGATGAGAACATTTTTGGGGTAGCTTTCTCCTGCTTATTATTTCAATTACTGTACGTCAATGATCAGTACTAATAGCAGCTAAGTTAGAGTCTCTAACAGACTTAAAAACTTCCTGGGACAAAAAAACAAAGCGTTCCAACAGAAAGGCCTCAGGATGATGGAGCTGACTCTGAAGGAGTTTGTTTTCTACAATGACATCTGTGCAAGACACTTCAAAATCAGCAGAGAAAACGTTTGTTTCTCTGTCCTGATTTTGAAACAAGAAAATTTAAATAGGACTTTTAAGTTGTTTTTTGTATATTCATGAACAGAACTGTTGCAAAAACTCTTGTGTGCTTGGAGTGCACCGTCCGTCCAGATTTAGGATGATGGCACAGAGAACATTTTGCTGGTCAAGGAGGAACGAAAAAAATGATTAAAACGCGTCAAATTTTTGAATCAAAGCATCTGATATAGATTGAAGACAGTTTTGGCAAAACATAATAACCCTACACCCATCCTGAAATCTTTAATTAATCACATGAACAGGTGAAAGTTGATGAAATGCTTGTAATGTTTCATGGCATTGTGAAATAATAAATTAGACTAGAAAGTTCCTTGAGAAACTTTGATGAGGACTGCCAGGCTGCTGATGATTTAAATGGTTGATTTGACAGTAACGTGTTTGAATTCACTCTCAGCTACCAGTATACCGAAATTCAGCTGACTCGCTCTTAAAATGGCCGAGTTATGGTAGTTTTTCTCTTTTAGCTACGGTGGCCATCTTGGATATTTCATTTGCATTATGTATAACAACTCGCTCTCAGCTACAACCATAGTTAATGTCAGCTCAATATCTCAAAGAATGACTGAGTTATAGTCAATTTTGTGTTTGCTGAGGTAGCTATGGCAGCCATCTTGAATCAAAATGGCTCCAAACATCAATCACTTCTAGACATTTATCTGATGATTACTTTCTGTGAGTTTCAAACAAATCTAACAGTGAGTTTCTGTTTTCTTCAGGACCTGTACACTGTAATTAATGTGACTTGACAGCAGCAGTTAGTGTGAGGAGTGTTCTCTTATTCATTTGCTTTGGGGAAATATGGCGTCTTTGTTAGCAAAGTATGTCACCATGGTAACTCTAAATGCCAATGAAAGTAAAAGCACACATCATGGGGCCGAGCCGGTCATTTTGATATAACATCTGTGGGAGTATGCATTGCGGTTCGGGCCGCATTAAAGTTGACGGAAGAGTTAAGATATAAATAATAAAGTTTTCCGAGGTGAATAATAATAATAGGTAACTGCATTTACTATTCAGTCCCCAGTTATTAGAATAACATGACATTTTTAATGAATACATTGGAAGATCCATGTCTTGCTGAGCTGTTTGCTGTGACATTCTCCACCAGTGGGCCCCATAACTTTTGCATGTCATTGCACATTGTTGCTTTGGCCAGGTGTCCAGCTCACCGGTGTGTGTGTGTGTGTGTGTGTGTGTGTTACAGAGGGGAATCTGTTTACAGCCACAGTCACAGACTTCTTGGCCATTGATGCGGTGATTTATCGCAGCCTCGGAGACAGTCCCGCTCTGCGCACCGTCAAGCACGACTCCAAGTGGTTCCGAGGTACAAACAGACACTTGTGTCCATGTTGGTTCTTGTGAAGGTGTGCTGCTTTATGTGAGTCTTCCATTCAGAATCATGCTCATTTTGCTTGTGTGAGGCTTTCAGTGCATGTCCAGGATGATTGGCAGCATGCAGGATTGATATGTCAGCAGTAGAGGTCTGAGGTCACCGTCATGTTCAGACTGCTGGTACAGAAGTGACAAACTTACCACTTGGGAACAAAGTTACACAGTTTAGACAAAACACGTTTCAAGTTACATTTGACACGGGATGTCGAGGATCTTGGATGGATTATTGCCAAAATTACAGCACATGAATGATTTCTGAGAAAGACAGGGAACCACAAATCACCTATTGTTTGCTGTGAAATCTTTGACCATATAATGAAATTAAGCTTATGCCTCTGTGTCACGGCTCTTGTATTACTTTAGTGTTGTGGGAATTAAAGGCGCATTCACAAATGTAGACGCTTGCATTCTTTCTCATGATCCATCCATAATTCTTTTTTTTTCCCTTGCTCGTTTTGCACATTTTTTTGTACATGCCTGCTCAATTCTTCTCTGTCTCTTCAGAGCCATATTTTGTAAGTGCTGTGGAATGGGGGCCTCACATCTACTTCTTCTTCAGAGAGATTGCCATGGAGTTCAATTACTTGGAGAAGGTATACAAGTAATTCTTGTGAAAACATACAACCTACTTTTCATCCGATCTGTCCATTCAGCGCATCTTTTGAAAGGACTCCTGTGAAATGTGTTGTTAAAAAAAAAAAAAACGTGTGTGGAGATGCTGGACCAGAACTATTATTTGAATTTGTATACCAGCTCTTTTTTTCCCCTCCTGCAGCTCCACTGACCTTGAATTCTTTTATTTGTCTGTATCCAAAAAAATCAGTGTGAGAACACAACTCATGGCTGCATTACCCTGAGAAGCACATTTTGTCATGGTCATTTCAGAGGCTTTCTGCTTTTACCAGAGCTGATGTCAGTTTGAAAACAATTTCCTTTTGTTAGAAGCATTTAACAAGCATGCACATTGCTAATTCTAACAAATTAGCGGTTCACGTTTGGTCAAAAGTGCTCGCAGAAGATCTCTGGCGTTGACATGTTTACAGAGAGCAGAGCAAATGGATACTTAAACTGCATCTCTATTATGTGCTCAAAGAAGCAATTTTCAGATTCATTGTCCTTTGCATGAATAATTGATACTGGATTTACCATTATAAAGCAACGATCTGTCAAAACAGGGCTTCCACAATGCAAATAGCATGCAAATGACTTCTCACCCTGGAGTTGAAAGGGATCTTTGAATATCCTCTTTTTGAAGATAAAAACCAAATGTCAGAAAATATTTTGCTCCTTAGATTGTCGTTAATGTTCTATGACAGTGCTGAATTCATTTGATGCTCGTTGATGGCAATAAATGATGGCCTCCACTCAAATTTTTGCTTTGCTTTGTTGCAGGTGGTGGTGTCGCGTGTGGCCCGTGTGTGCAAACGTGATCAGGGCGGGTCGCAGCGAGTCCTGGAGAAACAGTGGACATCGTTCCTGAAGGCCCGTCTGAACTGCTCCATACCCGGGGATTCCCACTTCTACTTCAACCTGCTGCACTCCACCAGCCCCGTCATCAGGATGCACGGCAGGGACGTCATCCTGGGCGTGTTCTCCACACCGGCTAACAGGTACAACAGAAAAACATTTGTATTTATTTTCGTCTCAGATATAATTTTCGAATGTATTTGTCCTCTCTCAACTTCATCTTTTTCCTCCCAACTGAATTTGCACATGTGGATGTTTGGGACTTGTATCAACCTCAAAACAGTTTTTTCTTAGACAATACTGTGCGTTATGTTTAACATTATGAATGCATCTTAAATTAGAGTGTAGACAGTTTGGAATCTTTGGAGTGGTTTTTGTTGAAGTTGTTATTAGTAATAAGTGTCTTACCTGAAGTAGAAATTGCTCAGAGCATTTTCAGATTAAAATACTGAGAGGGAGATGAGCTATCAGCAAACTGGAGTTGGACCAGTCCCAAGGCAGATTTCTGCCATCTTAAAATAGCTCATCTTCAGTTAATATAAACACATTTTGAGCAGCACGGTGGCACAGTTGGTAGAGCTGCTGCCTCTCAGTGAGAAGGTGGCCGGTTCAATTCCTGGTTAGGGGCCTTTCTGGGTGATGTTTGCATATTCCCTCCGTGCATGCGTGGGTTTTGTCCGAGTACTCCAGTTTCCTCCCACAGATCAAAAACATGCATGTTAGGCTGATTGATGACTCTAAATTGTCCCTAGGTGTGAGTGAATGAGAGAGAGAGTGAATAGTTGTTTGTCTCTGTATGTGTCCCTGTGATGGACTGGAGACATGTCCAGGATGTCCCCCGCCTCACGCACAATGATAACTGGATATGGGCACCAAGTGACCTTTATGACCCAAAAAGGAAGAAATGGGTAAAAGAGGATGGATGGATGGATGGATGCGTTTTTAACTTTTACACCACTGTCACTTTTGCATTAGGCTGTTCTTACATGGAAGCCACAAAATAAAGACCAAGTTGAGTGTGGTCCATTAACAGTAATGGTCCAAGTGAAACCTCTGTTGTAAAACAAAGTACCGGTATGTTAAATGTAACAAAGCAAAGTAACTGTCTAAGGCAAAGGTAATGTCTTGTGAATTTTTTACACCACCTTATTTTTTCTTAGATGCTTAATTGAATATATTATGTTTAGAAACATAAACTTCACATGGACCATTACTGTTGATGGAGCGCAGTCAACTTGGTGTTTAGTGTAAACTACCTTGGACTTCTATGTAAATAAGCTCAAGCAAAAGTATTGGTGGTGTAAACGTTTATAAAATAGAATTTTTAGGGACAACTATAACATTTTGAAGTAGAGTCGTTTTTAGATAGTCTGCTCAGGTCTTGCACTTTAGCTTGTTTTTACCAAAATAAACTTCTGTCCAATATTTTAAACTTATAAAGCTCTGAAGGATTTCTACTGCAGGTAAGACAATGATTAATGATAACTCTGAAGAACACCCCCCTCAATAGATAAAAACTGGTTATTTAAGAGTAAAAATTTGAAAAAAGGCTGCCATTTTTTAAATCTTTTTTTTTCTCTCCTTAATGTTTTTTTAACATTGTTTGAATTATGTTTGTAAACTGATAGAACAAACAATAAACAAACAAACAAAATGGAAACAGTGACCAAGTGTATTAAAATAACAAAATGTGAGAAATTACCATCAAACATATCCTGATGCTTGCTCAATAATCCAGGTAGAAAAATATAAAAAAAAGTTAAATCTGGTCCTCTGGACTTTCAAAAAAAAAAAAAAAAAGAATGTCCAGAGGACCAGATTAAACTTTTTTAGATTACCATCAAACCTTAACAAAAGCTTTTTGCTCGGTTTAAAAAGGGGGTTGTGGTGTGTTAAAGGTTTGCCTAAAAATACATGTTGGCCTCCGTCAAATAAAAACAAAGACAAACACACCTGGTATGAAGCTACAATCACACAGCGCACCTTAAAACTCCATTAATCCAACTTTTTTTCCTTAATCTGTGAAGTTAGAATGTGGAAATCTTTTCAGTAGATCATACAGAGCTTCACAACATACATCCAAGTGGCAAATGACTGCCATGGGGGGCAGAGTGGGAAAATGATTGAGCCCAAAAATGGTTATTTGTTAAGAAATGATTTGATCAGTCAAATATAACCCAAATTATAGAGAGTAAACAAAGAAATTACTCTAATTTAATTTATATAAACCTTATAAGGAGTACTTTCCTTTTTTTAATGGTAAATATAAAACTGTGCTTTTTAATCGAAATGCTAATGTACCAATCTGATTTAATTCAAACTCTTTTAAAAATTGTGGATACCTAAATGTTTTTTCATGTTGTTTCTGACACGTTCTCAACACTCTAAAACTGCTCGATTGTTATTTCAATATATCATTGTGTGTAAGTTTGACATAATATTGATAATGTTGGTGAAATAAAATTTAATTATCAGAAAAAATGACCTAACTAACAGTGGTGATTTTAGCCTCTTTTTGGGGGGGTGCTCAAGCACCCTTAAATTTTAACTCTGCACCCCTGAAAAATAAAGTAAATGGATTGGTTTTTTTTTGTTTTTTTTTTTGCTGTTATAGGTCTGGGTTTTGGGTTCTGTTTATTACATTTATGATTTAATGCAACAAAATAAACCAATGTAAAAGGTAACAGATCATTGTAATACTTGGTTTATTTACATAATGACTTTAATTGCTTGATGTCCGGCCCCTGGGCTGCTGGTTTTCAGTAACTGTGACCCCCTGACCAGTTTAGTAGAATATCCTGCTTTAGAGGAAATAATACAGTTTATTCCATTTCCAAAACCTAAAATGAGTCTGGAAAAATATAAAAGATGATAAAGCCCTGTGGCCGACCTCATGAGCAGCTAAATATCACAGTGATAAACAGGAAGTACCACATGTTCATCTTTATGAGGTTGTGTAATGCAAAGCAGAGTGCTACGTCTGTAGCATCTTAGCTAGTGCGTCTGTATTGCCCGCCGCTAGACTACTTCTTGTTGTGCCGTGCTCTCTAAAATAGTTATTGAATCAAATGTTTACTAATGTAGGTAAATGCAGATGTTTAACCCGTTAAAATACACCAGAATGCAGGAAATGGCATCTACTTTTTTCAACATTTTCTTGGGGGGGGGGGGTGCTGAGCACCCCTAAAGGGCAGATTCTAGAATCGCCCCTGCTAACAAATGTTAGAATGAGTTTTATGATTTGTGTCAGTCTGCCTGTGGAGGTCAGACCAACAAACGTGTTGTTTAAAATGTTTACTTCAGTTATTTTGTGGTCCTTCCTATTTAATGATGATGCCATCTTTTCTTTTTCACTGCAACTATGAGATTTATGTGTCAATTTTCAATGAGTTTTAAGGTTTTTTTTTTTTCTCCTTTGATGATTTAACAATCATTTATGATTTCTGTAGAGGCTGAAAGATGAGTTAAACATTGTTCAAATACCTTCCCTGCCTAGTCAAAGTCCGGTGATCAGGTCCTGCTAATCATGATAAGTCACAAGTCATGTTGTTTTTGTTTAATCGGTTTAAAAGTGTGATTCAGATCCCCAGACAGCTTTCATTAAGCTCAAACCAAATTGCAGATTAAAACAATTACTCCAAGCCAGTCAGTTAACTGATACAAATCATTTTAAGTGAAACAAAAGGTTTACACAACTCAGTGTTTTAATTGCATTAAAATAGATTTGCAAGTACAAGCGACTTCCCAAAGGAGTTTGATCAAACATTGTGATAACCTAATGAAGTAGACATTTGCACATAAGACATTTTTAATCCCGATAGTGTAATGTAAGTAGAACATTTTGTTTTCATGTAACTGGTGATTTACGGTAGTCTTAAATTTAAATAACGATAGTTTTACAGTGTAGTAATCTAGAGAAAACTGGCACTTTTTAGTCATTTTAAAGCCATATTTTGAGACTAAACCTTGGATGAAGTTTTATGTTTAAGACAATTTTGTAAAAGCTGCTACAAAACAAGATGTTGCTACCAACCAAACAGGGTTTTACAGTGTAAGTGGCTCACATGATCAACAATGGCTTTTAATGGCAATATTGTGCTCAAGTGGACCAGTCAGTTTTGCCAGTGTATTTTAATCTGTTAAAGTTTAGCACCTGTGGCAGAGGAGCATCTCTTACAGGCAGGTTTTAGACCACCCATCTCAGACAGAACAGAAAGAAAAGAACAAAAATAATAAACAGCTAGAAGTAAAAAGATATAAAACAGAGATGGGGATAAAGAGAGAGGTGGTGAACAAGAGGGGACGACAAGGAACAACAAAGACAAGGAAGTCAGTAATGGACAACACGTGTGCCCCAGCCACTCCCTGAGCCCTGAAACTGTTTCATCAGCTGCATCTTATCTGCGTGTTTGGAAGGATCCTCTCTGAACCGGGGGGGTTGGGTTACTGCCTGCAGAGCCACATGGATGCTTCAGGGATACAGACTTATACACAAACACACACTCATTCAAAAACACTTGCAAGGGTTCCCAGATAAAAGCATTTACATCTTACCGTGGAGCAGCTGAACACACAGATAACACCTCCACCTGGGTGAAATACTGCGGGGCTCGCTTTTAAATAACTGCCAGCCAAGACAGAGGGAAATGGAAGTTTAGATGGAAAGATATGGAAATGTGTGACAAGGGAAAATGGTTACGAAGCGATGGAGAGTGTGTGAGGTGAGCTGTAAAACTCCCATGTGGCCCTCTGCACCACGCTGGCAAAGTGCTCACCAGACAAATTGCTTTGGCTGGCAGTGTGCAGCGAGAACCACGTGAAGTAGGACCTTGGAGCAAGGTAATAGCTGCTCACTCCTGCCATTTGGCCCTCTGCAATGTATATCAGGCTTTACCGTGGTATGAGAAAGATGAGATGAAGCTGAAGATTTATTGTCTTTTCCTTTGACATTCTGAACATGCTCATCTCTTCCTGTGGCCGTACACTCCAGGGACAATTTTACAACCACTTTCCAGCTACTCAACTGTTTCAGGGCTTCGTTTCTAAAATCCTTCAGCCTCTGTTTTTAAATTAAAGTCTGGCCAAGTGTTGCCATAAAAAAGTATGAAAATGAGGTCAGCAAAAGGGAGTTTTGTTTTTAAACTGCTTTCATAGGCTCACTAAAGCAAAAATAAACTAAAACATATTTTATTAATTTGATTGTCTGTAAAGGGTGGCATGATGACACAGTTGGTGGAGATGTTGTCTCGCAGTGAGAGGGTTGCCAGATCAAATCCCAGCTTTTCTGGGCGGAGTTTGCATGTTCTCTCCGTGCATGCGTGGGTTTTCTCTGAGTACACAGTTTCCTCCCACAGACCAAAAACATGCACGTTAGGCTGATTGGTAACTCTAAATTATGAGAGAATGAATGGTCGTTTGTCTCTACGTGTCCCTGTGATGGACTGGAGACCTGTCCAGGGTGTACCCTGCCACACTCACAGTGATAGCTGGACATGGGCACCAGTGACCCCCGTGACCCAAAAAGGAAGGAGAAGGTAAAGATAATGAATGGAGGTTCATCTGTGTAAAAATCTAGTGTGGTTTTTTTTTTTCATGGTGAGGGAAATACACTGCATCTTGATTGCAAAAGACCTTGTTTGATTTTGCTGCAGTGAATTTTGTGCAACAGGGTCAGGCAGCTGTTTAGTCCTCAGGGAAAATTGTGCTGCGACAAAAAGCAGGCGGAGGACAGGTTTAGGAAGCCAGGACAAATGTGGCACAAGGGAGGATGCACAGATGTGCAACTAGACACCCCCCTGGGCCTGCAAGGAGACTATGCAAAGGAATATGTAATAAGGTCACTTGTGCTGAGAAAAGTGGTACAGCAAAGAAAAACTGCATGCATATGACAGAGGAGTCATGTCACGAGCAGAATCCAGAGTTGTTACACGGGTTTTAGTCTTTCCACATGAATATCTGTAGTCAAGAGAAAGAGATGGGAAAAAAAATACAGGGATTATTGTGCAAAGGTCAAGTAACACTTTGAATTACTGGGTTATTTGAAGAATAAAAATTAGATGAAGTGAGATGTTTTTGAGAAAATCCATGAAGCTAAATGATGATAAAATAATGGTAAAGGTTAAAAGTAAGAAAGGAGGTTTAAAAAGTGCAAAGAATGAAGAAAAGTTTGACAAGTTCAAAAGTTTAAAGTTGTCTTTTAGGAGGGAAAAGATTTTTCTCTTCGTCACATCTGCCTCTAAAGTTCTGCTGTTGGTTTGTAAAATTTGCACTGGTTTATTGTTATTGTCATTTATTTTCACACTTTTTATATATTTATAAGGTCTCTGTAAATGAGTCCCCGAGGCTAAATGGGATTAACCTGTATAAATAAAAGTCAAATGAAAAATGTTCTCACAGCTTAGTTTGTAGAAATAATATTATTTTTTAAATAAACAATAAATGTGTAAAATAACAAAGTTCTGGCTATATTAATATAATAATAAACCTACATATTTCCTTTAAATAAGTCTATCCTTACTCCCCCTCATTTTATTTTCCTCAAAGTAAAATATGCTCTAATTTAAACTTCCTTTTTAAAATGATAATAAGTCTCTCTCTCTCTCTCTCTCTCTCTCTCTCTCTCTCTCTCTCTCTCTCTCTCTCTCTCTCTCTCTCTCTCTCTCTCTCTCTCTCTCTCTCTCTCTATATATATATATATATATATATATATATATATATAACTGTAGTGTATACTATATCTTGAAACCATTTCAATAAATATCTCTTGACGCTTTAAACAAATAATCCTTGACTAAAATCTGAGTAAATGCTACCAGTGCAAATCATTGTAAGAGTGAAACTAAATTGTAAGAGTGAAACTAAATTGTAAGAGTGAAACTAAATTGTAAGAGTGAAAATAAATAAAATAAAATAAAATAAAGAAACCGTTGGTACACTTCTAAAAGTTTGAAACTTCTATAGAATAGTATACAATAAGTTACCACAGCAGTCCATGTAGACTGTTTATAAAATGTTTCTGCATAAAGTTGTTAATCCATACTGGAGATTTTCTTTCTTGATATTACTGAGGAATGTGCAAAAATTCAAGTCTGCATTTAGACCTTTGGCTAAAGGTTTGCATTAAACTTTTTCAGACTCCATTTTGCCCCTGCCTTACCTGTTTCCACAGTTCATTATGTGGCTGTTAAGAACGTAAAAGTGTGTGCCTTCAGTGAGTCTTTTATAAGTAAGGCTCACAAAACACACTACACCACCATGGGCTGCTTGTACCTTTAACTTAGCCAAAAACAAAGAGCAAAGGCAAACAGAGAGAAAGTCAACAATAGAAATTACAAGTAGGAATATTAAAATGATTGTTTTGGTATACCAGATAAACACAAGTGGGAGGAACAAACAGAGTATAGAGTAAAAATATGTGAATAATAAAAACTATTCTGAGAAAAACAGCCCCAAGGCCTTTTGGCTTTCTTTGGTTAGACACAGATTTGTGCACAGGGCAAACCCAGTGACCTGCAGAGAGATGGATAGGAGGGTTGAAAACAGGGTGAAGGTAGCGATAGCTGGCAGACATGTCACACATAACATCTGGTTCCTGCAATCCTTACTGAGAAACTCTACGCTGCTCACTGCCACAGCTACGTCATCCTGGCCAGGGCTGAGTCACATCGCTGCTTGTAAATTTCTGCGAATGATATGTACAGAGGGGAAAAAAACTCTCCTGACCTGAACAAATGGCACATCAGGAAAGGCTTCTTGCTGCAGCCAATATCCAGCCCACAGGCACCCTTCTTTCCACACTTCTGTAGCTTTCAAAGGGGACTCTCAATGTGAATGCCTCTCAGCTCCATGCAGAGTCCTGGGGGCAAGCTGCACAGATACTCAAATCACCAGCTGGATGTTTACTTTTATACATAGCAACGGGGAGAAAAGGAAATCAACAGTTGGAGTTTGTGTGGGATCTACTCTAGGTTGGTGGTATAACCTAGCAACGAGCTTTCATACCACATGCATAATTCGTCATTGATGAGAAGACTTTGAGAGCAGAGAATGAAGTCCAGGTGCAGGGAACATGGGGGTATTTTACCCCATTTGTTCCTTATCTCATCTCCACACTGCTCTTTTCAGTTTTTGCTTTACGGTGCTTTGGTTTGTGGTTCCTCCAAAGAGGAACCCAGACCCAGACCAGTGGTCATTCCGTATGTTGCAAGAGTTTCAGAGAAACTGAGACATTTATTTTCTAAACATGACATCCCAGTGGCTTTTAAACCTCAAAAATACATTACGGCAAAAACTGGTCCATCCCAAAGATCCAGTCCCCCGGCACAAACAGAGTAATATTGTGTATGCTGTTCAGTGTCAATAGGGTGATCAGTCTTACATCGGGGAGAGGAACGATGGTTTGAGAGGAGTAAAGGAGGCCATCTTTGTGAAAAGAAATCGTCCATCATTAAACAGGGGTGGAGGCCTCCGTGTTCAACTGTCCCCCTCTTACAATGCTGTTATTGCTAGAATCTTTCAGCCCCCTGTGAACAGCAAGCGGCCATCAGAGCACTAACTATCAGTCATTAGACTGATGGTCCGTCTTTATCATGTGAACAGCTAGTTCTAGATATCACCAGCAAACAGGTTGATCCACTATGATAAGGTGCTATTTATAAGACTGAGTTTGTTGCAGCTCTTCAGACTGAAGAAGTCTATTAGAGTAAAGAGGAAACGTTTCAATTTTTTAAATTTTTTTTTTTAATCCTTCCAGAGGATCTGACTTAGCTTTGTTAGATTTTTCTACCTGGATTATTGAGCATGCGTCTGGATGTTTGTGGTGCATCAAGTTCAGACACTGACTGTGGGAATGCATCTTTTTTTTTGTAAGAGTCGTGCTTTGTATTTATTTGTGAAGGGAGGGATGCACAGCACTGGACACTTTTCAGAACAGATGTTCTGCTCCCCACTGCTGGGTTCATGAGCGGACGAACAGCCTCTGAGGTGCACCGGGCCTTTTTATTGGAATGTTTTCTTTTCACAAGAATCTTCTCCTCCCCACTTATTTTGTGGAGAAAAACAGAATTCAGTGACTCATTTCCCATTCTGTTTTATTTTCCAGGAATTTTGGCCAGAATCTTGTATCTGCTGAAGATCTAATCTACAAAGTATAACCCAAAGATGATAACATCTATATTTTCCTATATTTCTTTCAGTGTCAGTAACAGTTTCCTTTGTGTTCCAGTATTGGGTGCCAAAGCATGAAGAGCCTCAGTTTAATTTATCATCTTTGCTGGTTGGCTGTCTCTTTGCCAAGCTCACATTTTCTTCTCATGTAATAATTTTAGCAGTCTACATTTTAATCTCAGGTATATTCCATCTTATCATTTCTTCGTCTGTCACTTTTTTCCACTCTCTCTACAGCCTTGTTGAAAAAGTAAAGTGTATTTGACACGTGACTGACAGTCACTTTGTGTCAGCTCAGAGGGTTTTATCTGTCTCATTCGGTCCCTGTCTCACCATCCCTGTCTCTGTCCTTGCAGCATACCAGGCTCGGCCGTGTGCGCCTTTGACATGGAGCAGCTGGCTGCCGTGTTTGATGGAAGGTTTAAGGAGCAGAAATCACCAGAGTCTATTTGGACGCCTGTTCCAGATGAGCTCCTCCCAAAGCCAAGGTGCAGATGGCACTATTCATTTCACACACCTGTGTGCAGATTGTTATCAAGGAGCCCATGATGATGATGGCATTCTGAAACATGAAGCTGAAAGTGAATTTTTAGCAGAGGCAACGTAACAAACAATACATTTTTTGCCTTCAGTGGGCAAATGTTGCTCTCAGTTATTTATATGTTTATGTGTGAAAGATTTATAATATTCAAATAATGCAGAAATATTCTGATGCAAATAAAATCAAAAGGTATTTTTGGGGACCAAGTCTGTTATTGAAAATAAAGTCTATGTGAGTCAGACAGTCTAGACTGTCCTTTAATAATATATGATTACCAAGGCCTCACGTCACACAGATTCTCTTCACCTCTTCTGATGAACTCCCTGTTGTTGTCCCCAGACCCGGTGGCTGTGCAGTTCAAGGATCCAAGTTCAATTCCTCCAACTCATTCCCTGATGAGATGCTGAACTTTGTCAAGACGCATCCACTGATGGACGAAGCGGTGCCATCGCTCGGACAACGACCCTGGATAGTCAGAACCATGGTCAGGTGAGTCTGGACTCAAATGAGCAGTTCACGTGCAGGCTGTGAAATGGTTGTGCATTAACAATTTTTTTAATATATTTTTATATATTTTTAATTTTATACAGTAGTACATCATGCACGTTAGGTTCCACCACGATAAGTGAAAAACTGCAAAGTGGGGAAGGTATACTATTTATTTTAATATTTATACTGTATATATTTTAAGACTTTAGAAACCCTTCCCACACTCTTGCAATCTTCTAAACTCTTAAACCTACTAATTTTAACAACATACTGGTATGTAGCTAATAAATTTTACTTACAAGTGCATCCCCGGAGCTCTCACTGTTGAGTCTGAAGGTCCAGTTCTGGTCCAGTTCATTGCAGCTCTTAAGCGTCAAAGGGCAGACCTGTTGGCTTGTGTGGGACCATAGGTGGTGGATAGAGTGCAAATCTGAATGAAAGACCTACGGCGCCACGTCCCTGCTTGGAAGTCCACGTGGACCATCTACCAGGTCTCAAGATTCACCAATGGGTCTGGAGGTCTGGTTCTGATCCAGTTCTGGTCTGATTCAGTGGGTTCAGTGCGGTTTCTCTACATCTACTGGGCGCAGATAAGATCAAAACTTTACCTCTGTTTTTTTCAGCAGAAGGAAATGGGGCTTGTGGGATCCTAAATGGTGAAAATATTTAGGGAATTCAGTTGTTTTGTGAAGTCCTCCATTAACATGACGTGGAGTCCTCTCTCCGTGGTTAACATAGACAATAAAATGCCAACTCTGTGTACTTTAATTTGTGTTAATTTGGTTGGATGTAAAGAAATATATGCCTTTTAATTATATAAAGGCTCTTCTGATCATCCATTCATATTACCTTGTATTTTTCACAGATGTGTGGCCTTTTCAGTTTATCGAACACAGTAATGAAACTACACTTCTCATAATCTACAAAACCCTTCGATTTGGCCCGTTCTAGTTTTCAGCATTTTCTATGATATGTTCTGTTTTATCTTGACAAATTAGAAGGTTTGATGGATAGATGGATGGTGTTTATAATAAAACTTTGTGAGCGTTCACTCAGTATTTAAAAGGTGAGTTGATTCAACAGAGTAACTGGATTCTGTTTTACGGTGTAAGAAACATCAAAAACAGGTGTATGAATGAGGGGCTCTGTCTTTAGGTTGGACCTTCTTGTTGTTTTGGTATTATAGCAGAAAAACACAGCTAAACACATACTAGCTTTTGTTTTGTCTCTTCTATTTACAAAGTATTTGTTGTATGGATTCTCCCTGTCGACTAACCAGCAGTTGATCATGGAGACTTAATTATGAAGAATATTATTATTGTTTCACTCATCCAGAACTGTGTGTGGCTCTGCTGCACTCTGCTATTGTTCCAGGACATTTGCTTCATTGATGTAATTAATGACTTAAATGTCTAATGTAATTTGTTTACTATGGAGATATAACGAGCTGTTTTTATTTTTATTATTATTCTTTCTTCTTGCAACATCTCAAGAATATGTCCCTTGTAAAATCTAACATCACAGCAGTCTGTAAGTTTAGTCTAAGCCAATCTGCTTTAATGCTCTTTAATCATGCACTGGCCTCCAGGAGCTACTTGACAATGCTTTCAGCTTTCATAGATGGAAAGTCCCAAATGAGCAGCATCATTTCATAGCATTAATGCAGTACTTTGTCTCTCTGCTCTGTGGTTCAGGTACCAGTTGAATAAGATAGTGGTGGATACAGAGGCTGGGCCTTACAGGAACTGTACTGTTGTATTCCTCGGATCGAGCAGAGGGACCATCCTCAAGTTTCTCATTATGCCGAACCAGGACAACACCGTAACCAACAGCAACATCTTTCTGGAGGAACTGGAGGGATTCAACCCTGACAAGTAAGACTACAGCGTAATGCAAAAACATGATGGACTTAAAAAAAGAGAAACAAGTTAATTATTTGAAAGAATAGCATAGCATTTTTTGAAAATATAGAAAGTAGCGCTTGTTTTACTAAGCCTTAATGTAAAAAAAAACAAACAATTTTTTTACTTTTCAATGTATTTACTTTGATTTCACATTTTTTGTTCCTTTTTTTATATTTTGTTAATATTCCTGAAGCAACAAAATGTACATTTTTGTTGCAGGAAAACCTAGTGTTGGACTTATTTTTACTCTTGGAGTGAAAACAATAGTTATTTGCTGCACATTTATACAATATGATGGAGTTTCTGCACAACACACTGAGAGCTTTCTGGCTGAAATGGGATAAATGTTTTTCTAGACAACAAGGTGAATATTAGCAGATATGATCATTGCATTATAGGGCTGTGGGAACTCAGTGGTCAGTGTAATCCTGAGGCTGCTGGTTCAAGCCCAGGTTGCATCAGGAAGGACGCTCGGTGTTAAACAATTGCCAAATATTTTTAGCGAGTTTGTTCCCTGTAAATAAACACAAACAACATAACTGTTGCATTATGCTACAATGATAATCTTGATCAATGCAATAAATTTGCACACAGTTATTTTGATATTTTTTAAATTAATATAAAATTTAATCACAGGTTACATTACCAATTTATATTTTATTCATGTTTTCCAGATTGTTTTGCTGTAGATCTTTGACTCAAGCATTATTTTTATGTTTTTCCTATTAAAAGTTTATGTATCAATTAGCAGGTTTTACACATCTCATAGTCACTGTTTCTTTCCCCTTGTTTAGCCAAATACCTAAAGGTGAGAGCTTTGCAATGCAATTACAGTGCAGATCCTCAAAGTGTTATCAGTCATGTAACTCTTGAGAAAAATGGTGAACTGATGAAATTGGTACTTACTACATGAGACACAGCAGTATAGACTGGGTCAGTAATGGGTACGCTGACGTCCCCATGGAGAGGAGACAGTGTTGCAGCGCTTTAAAAGAGGCTTTTAAACACAACTTGTCTTGAATCATCCAGAAAACACCACCTGCATTTTTTTTTCCAAGATATAAATTGTGCCGTATCGAATCCAACATGAAGCAGAGAGAAAATGGGGTAATTAGATGAGACTTGAATTACATGCTAGTGTTCATTATCAAGAAATCTGACTATTCTCTAATGAGCCTGAGACCAGCTGTAGAACTGTGTTAAAACATCAGGAGAACAATAAAAGACGAATTTCTTATCACCCTTCATCTTGAGCTGAGGCTGTGATGAAGACTGACCTTCTTTCTTCTGTCGGAAGTTGAATCACGTTTATGACTTCAGTCTTGACAAAAGATTGGATTAGACGATTGCCCCTTATTTGCTTTTCTGATTAGCATATTTCATACAAGGCTTCTTTTGATGTAGGTTGTTACGTAATGCAGCACTGGGTGCGTTGCCTTCTCATCTTTGTGCTTGGTTCTTTGTTGAAAGGCAGCGTTCCACATGTTGGGTTGTGACTGCACTGTGGAGGGAAGATAATTGTCACACAGATGCAGGCAGCTTTGGCTGGTGATTATCTTTCACTAAAGCTAATTAGAGGCATTTAGAAAGAAAGTAGATGTTTCTAAACAGTCTGTAATTGCACTCATCGATACACAGACCAATTTCTTTTTGGAACAGTAAGTGGAAACTAAGTATAATTTCTTGAAATGGCCCACCCTGTGTTTTTTATCCACTTTCTGCAAAGGACACTCAGCTATTTTAGTCACAAATTGGACAAAATGAGGGACAGTGATTGCAAGTGAAATGAGGGGACAGTGTGATAAACAAGTTGGGGCCGTCCGGAGCTGGTTTGTAGAGATAATTTTGTTCACAGTGTAAGCTTGCCGAGAGCGTCTATGTGTGTCATTTTTGTGGGGATGGGGTTTAAGTCCAGCAGTCACAGCAGGCACCCAGCTAATCAGAAGACAGAACACAACCAGTACCATTTCCTCATCAAAGTTCTTGCTCAATAATCCAGGTAGAAAATCCAGCAAAGTTCAGTCAGGTCATCTGGACGGTTTCTTTTTTTGTTGAGACGTTTCATCCTTCATCCAAAGGACTTCATTAATCCGAGGAGCCGCAAGCAAACTGAGTCTCACAAGCAGCACACTCCCATAGTGGACCAATGGGGGCCGAGACGGGGTAGAGGCAGGGCAGCCGATTCAGGACCCGAAAGCCCCAGGTTCAATCCCCAGCCCTTGCGCATCTTGTGGTGTCTCTGAGCAGCACACCTTAGGCCCAATTGCTCCCAGGGTGCTTTCAATAGCTGCTCACTGCTCCACCTGGGGATGGATGGGTTAAATGCAGAGAGCCAATTTCACCATTGTATGGAAACATACAATGATGATAACACATAACACATTATTATTATTAAGCAGTTTCCTGGTGATAAGATGGTTTCTGGGACCTGCCCTCTCCCCCGTAGACTCCTCTGAGGAAGCCATAGCCGAAGTGGTTCAAAACATCAAAGTTCATGCTCAATAATCCAGGTTAAAAATCCAACAACATTTTGAACCACTGTGGGTAAGGCTGCCTCAGAGGAGTTGACAGGGGAGAGGGCAGGCCCCAGAAACCATCTTATCACCATCAAACTGGTTGGTCCACTATGTGAGTGTGCTGCTTGTGGGACTGAGTTTATTTGTGGCTCCTCGGACTGATGAAGTCCTTTGGATGAAGGACGAAACGTCGCTACATAAAAAGAAACCGTCCAGAGGACCTGACTGAACTTTGTTGCAAACTATTTCCTGTTCCGGGCCAGATTTAGATTTACACACTTGAAGTGATAAATCAGACTTTTTTTTTAATGGGGAACCCCCAGATCAATGTAGTCCAGATGACCTGACTGAACATTGTTGAATATAGCACCTACCTTATATGTTGTAGATGGCTCTTTGAATGACCTCAGTTTGGAGAAATAGTTTAAACTGGACTTGCTTTACCTTGAACTGTGACCAGAGGTTAAGACAGACAGAAACCAAGATCTGAAATGGGCTTTTCTTCCATAATAATCATGGAAATAATCTGAACCAGGTGCAAGACTAACACAGCTTCTTCTATTCTCTCCACTTGTTTAATCATGCTCCTTTAATCTTCTTTTCTCCCGGCTTCTTTATTTTATTCATCCTTTCCATAACTCTTCTTCTTCATTTCCTCACATTTTATGATACTGGCTGTGAAAAACGACTCCGAGCTCGGCCTTTAGCAGAATGAAAGATTCTTCTTAATGACCCCGCAAAGTTATTACCATAAGCCATCCAGATCCAACTAATGCATGAGTGCACACGTGCATAAAAAAGGTCTAAACCTGCTGCATGCAGGCAGGTTGTTGCCAGCTATTTCAGCTCTAAGTGCCAATTAGGAGCAATTTGGGTTCCTGGCTGCTGTTTTTGATGTCCAGTGGACCCCTCAAACTTCTACAATCAGCACTGCACCTTTGGGGTGACATTTTAACACCAGCCTTTCACGTTCATAATGGCTTTTATATTTAGAGCTTTTTGTGCCTGGTAGTGTTTCACCCTCAATCGTATTGTTATTCCCAGAGGGGGGTCAGAGGTTTAATGTGCAGTCTGAGTCTTGTAATCAAATGAAATAAATAATTTGCTTTGTGTATTCAGGCCTGTTTGTGTGTTGCAGGTGTGCGGAGGACTCTTTGCAGGCCAGGCAGCTGTTGTCTCTGACTCTGGACCGGGCGAGCCACACTCTCCTGCTCACCTTTCCCTCCTGTGTGGTCAGAATACCGGTGGCAAGATGCCAGCTTTACTCCCGATGCATGAAGTAAGTCTGCGACAAAAAAACAGCAGAAACGTTCCCATAACAATGAGCAGCTGGGCTGGAAAAGAAGCTGCGTGTGTCCTGAGTTCTGTTACAATAAAAACAAAATGACACCGCTTGATAACAGCTTTACATAACACTTTTCTATGGTTTCACTTTATTGAACGTTGCGATGAGTGAGGTCACATCGTCGCTACATTCACTACTAACTTAACTGATCACCAATTGTTGGCCCCCGGGCCATATCAGGCCAACCAGCCTAGTCCCTCCAGCTTAAAAAGTGTAGAAGCTTCAAATAATTTCTCATTATTTGACATAAAAGTCTGTTTTGGATTTCCTCAAAAAGTGAAATCAAATTTTTGTACAAGCACAATTAAACTAGCATTCCTTGAAGAAATGCACTTTGCTCTATCTGTTAGAGTTCAAAGTATGTGTTGAGGATGACTCAGCTATTACTACACCAACTATTATCTCAATACTTGTAACACTGACTTAAAGCCATTCTTCTTTTGGGTGAGGTTGATTAGCTGTGGTAGCCATCTGGGTTCAGGTTGACTCGACACGTTAATCACTTGTAGAGGTGCAACTTGTGGTTACTTTCTGAAAGTTTTATTCCAATGTGTTCACTGATTTGTGATATATTTTGCTAACAGACAAACAAAAACATTTACATACGCAGACAACTGCATGATTGCAAACTTATAAAAAGCTATAAATATGTGATGCAATGCTGCTTTAGCAGTACAATCAGAGGAAAATAACCTCCCTCCTCCAGCCTGGCTCTCTTTCTGAGCCGGGGACACATGTGGCTGTGGCCTGTCAGGGTCCACTGACGCTCACACACACATCTGCACACACCAGCAGCGCACGAGCCGTGCAGTGTGTTCACTGAACCAGGTGAGTCATACAAATGTGTAATCCAGACCGCATTGGGGAACCACTTACATGATTGCTGAGGTCTGTTTAGTGTGCGTACATGTTTAGGTTTGGACATGGTGGTTAATTATCTGGGCATGAATCAGTTATTATTCATGCTTCAGCTGCTTCGTCTGTTTGTTGAACCTTTTAGGTGTATTGGTGAGCTCTTGGAATATTTGTTCACTTTGATTAAGGTTGACGGTTAGATTTACCTCTTCCAGTCACAATAATTCAGTTTATTTTGTAATAAATTCTTAATAATTTAGATTTTAAACATGTTGCCTTGTTGGTGTTTAAATAGCAAACAGTCTGGGCCTCACTTATCCCCACAGCAGTAAAATCTCATACTGTGCTTAAACAGGCTTATAGCATCTGATTAAAGACCTGTTTTGGATGTTTTGAATACGGTGTCACTGATTAGCAATTAATCTGCCTTTATACACTCCTTGTCATTTCTGCAAACCTGTTTTCTGAGTTTTATTTTGCACATTTAACTCCAGGATATGAGTGGTTTTAGAGTTTTCTTTTGTGCAGCACTGTGGCAATGCTTGTTGGTTGCTTGGTTAAGGATCTCGGTGCAGTTATTTATGAGACTAGAATTTAATCTGGATTAAAAAAAATGAGTTTGGACTTTTGAGAGAAGATTTCAGTTTGATAGCTCTAACAGGAAATCTCAATGCAGGAAGTTCAGATTGAATTCAGACTGAATCCAGTCCTGCTTTTATTTATCTGCTGAGGATTTTTCAAGATGGAACGTTGAGGTTTTTGTGTGGCCGTCAAGAAAAACAAACCTTTGCGTTACATCGATCATACTTTGATCATTAAACACATTTTTTAGCAAGTCTTCAAGTTGTACTATTTTTTCAAAAAAAAAAAAAAATCAATGATTTCCTTTAAAGTGAAAAGTCCTAAAATTCAAAATGTTAAATGTTTAGTTTTGTCATTTATAGTTTAAAAGATTACGTCTGAAATCTAACAGGATACATACTTCGAGTTATCTCGTGAAAATATATCTGCATAGTACTGTCATGACAAAGTCGTGGAACTAATTGTGAATTATTCTTTTAATAAAAGTTTGAAACTGAGCAGTAAACCTGAAAAGTCTTATGCAGGAGGAACATTTAGCTGCTGTCAGCGTTTCAGTTCTTGTATATTTTGCACTTTTAGTTCATGTGAGAGCTCCTTTTTCCTTGTAATGGGAGACTTTTTGTTAAAATGTTGCTGAAAGTCAATCTTGGTCAGTTTAAACTGACTCTGGATGCTTTGATTAACAGATGTGAAATGTTTCGACACCAAACAAGCAAACTAATCAAAATCAAATGTAAACACACGTCCAATATAAGGAAACTGGACTACAGTGTTTACATGGTTACATGTGAATGGGGCGGCTGTGGCTGAGTGGTTAGAGCAGTTGTCCTCCAATGGGGAGGTGGGGGTTCGATTCCACCAGCAGTCATATGTTGAAGTGTCCATGGGCAAGACACTGAACCCCTCATTGCCTCTGATGTGAGTCCCATTTGTGTATGAATGGGACCTACAGCTCTGATTAATCTCTACAGATTCAGATTATCTTTGTAGACAAGTAGTAGAGTGCTGTTTGAATGTGTGTGTGGAGGTAAATGAGGACACAGATTGTGCTGTAAAGAGCTTTGAGTATCTTAATTAAAGGTGCTAAATTAAAGTACAGTCCATTTACCATTTGATGTTTTTTCCTGCATCCTTGGTGTTTTAAACAAATAAATGTACTTGGTAGCATAATATCTGTATGTAAGCACAGTTCAGTTAATTTTAAAACTCAATAGCTCTTGACTCAATCCTTACATCTGCATGTATAAAAGCAGTTTAAACAGGTTAACTCTGTACTTTATGATTAAAAATCTTTGCATACCTTGTTGGGTTCCTATGACCATCAAGTAAATCAAACTGACTTTGAAGCCTACTCGAGGGAACTCCGTTTAATCTTTGAAGTTCAGCAATTTAAAAAAAAATCTTTTAATCCCGTCTGTCCTCCAGGAACTGCATTGCCTCCAGGGACCCGTACTGCGGCTGGACCAGAGGAAGCACCTGCTCCTTCCTCAGACCTGGAACCAGGTACAGCTCTTTTATTGTGCACTTACAACAACTTTACTTTATGTCGCACTCAACTTTTACTCCGTGTCATATTGTTTTCCATCTGTTTTTTGTCTCTGAAGTCTCGTTTTACAGCTATTTTGTGTTTTTGATCCTAATAATTAATGATTGTTTTTAGATTTTTAGTATCTTTTCTTTTAAGAACTCCATTATAGCAGCAGAAATGGTTCACCCAAAACATCCTATGCATTATTTATTTGTTCTGGGAGTTTTAAGTGTTTTGTTGTTTTGACATTTTGAGCATTTATGTTAGATCTGTGCCCTCTAAGCAACTCGTCCCACAGCCTGATCTTAATCCATTTCAGATGTCTGATCTTCAACGTTCTGTTTACCTGCTACTGTGTTCTGATAAAAAACATTGCGTTGGTGTGTCAACATTGTGAGTTTAGCTGCGACTGTATTTCTCTGTCTGTGTTGCAGAGAGTGTGATTGTCTGGCAGTGTGTATAAATGTGTGTATAGGAGTGCACAACCCCTCTCTCCTCCTGTTACTGAGATGCAGTGGTCTGTCGTTACATCCCACCTCTATTTGTGGTCGTTTCCCTCCGGTAAAATCAAATTTGTCTCGAGTCAAGCTGCTTATTGAATTAGGTTTTCAAACACAGGTAGAGCGCGCCAGCTGAACAGACAACACTGGCCTCACAGACCACCTCGGGCTGCTGCTTATACTATTAAAGGCCTCTGTGTTTGTCTTCATTTGATTTACCAAGGGCGGTCAACATGGCTATCGATTCTGCATTGAGTTACTGTGGTTTTCCTCTTTGTGGAATAATGACACCTCTCTTTGCAAACCAACGCCTAAAGAGAACCTGCGAGTTATGAAAGTTTGTCTTGCATACACTCAACTCACTGTGGCAGAGAAGTTTTGTACTTTTGAACATTTTTGAGAAACAGATGATTTGGTACCACTTTACAATAAGGCTCCCCTTATGCATGGCTAATAAATAGTTTATAGATGTGTTATAAATTCCTCTATAAACACTTTATAAATCATTAATAAATGCTTATTATGCATTAATTAAGGGTGACAGAGAGACAGAACTGACCAGTTTCTTGCCAAAGCTGTTCACCCTATATATTTCATCTAGAGTTGTTATATTAAACATTTCAGACCAACTTACTACCTTGTAAGCACAATAAACATTTGTAAACCAATTTTTTTTAGGATATAATATTAGTTGTAGATTTTTTTCATTTCATTTACCCTTTATTTATACAGGTAGTCTCAGTGAGCCACGAGAACTAATTTTCAAGAGAGATCTGTTTAGGGAGCACATGGTGGGGGTTAAGGACCTTGCTCATGGGCCCAGAGTGGGGCGAATGAGGGTGGGGACAGGTGTGGGTGCATCACCTATCCCACCCACATTTTTGATGTTGTTGGTACCGGGGCGTGAACCGGCGATCTTCTGATCACAGGCCCACCTTCTCTAACCTCTGCGCCACCACTCCCCACAGATACTTATACTGCAGTGATAAAGTACAATATTATACTTATATATAGTTACATTAGTGGTCCCAATGATTTTTTTAGATGCAACATGTGCTGGGGTAGGCTTTTATTTACTAATTTCTGTCTAAAAAGCTCAGAAAACTGGATAATCACATAACATAAACGCAGTGACATACTGTGCATTTCACAGACAGGCCTTCAGTGATTTTCTACCTGAATTAATTCACCTCTTATTGCAATAATTTTGATACCATAACTGTCTAAAACACAGAACTGTCATATAACAGGACATTGCATCACAGACAAATTTTATGCAACAAACATCTAATGATTTAGTCCAACTATTAGCCTACTAAAACAAGAATCAAAATTTAAAACAATTTGATGGAACAATTTGGTCCCCTTTTACCCCCCCCCCCCCCCCCCAGCAGCATGACATGCATCATTTGTTGCAGAAGCCTCAACGCATTAACCTAAAAAATAGCAAAAATACAGTTAACCCCATGTTTATACTGTATGTATTCAGTCCTCAAACAATTCTCACATTTCTAAATGTCTTCACACATCAACAAAGTGAGAGACGGTCAATGTGTTTTGGTCAAGGCCTGAGGTGTGATGAGCCACCGATGGGTTTTCATGGACTTGCTTGTGATCAGCTGCTAACAACACATGACAGTCACCATGAATTAGGCTGTCAGCTCCTTCAACCTTAGCAGCCAGCCAAGTTAGCTGCACCCGACCTGAACACAGGAAAACAGAGTCACTGTTCAGTGTTAAAATTATAAAATCACACGCACCATGCTGTCAAACACCCAAAGATATCCTGAGACATCATAAATTAAATTAGATTCAAGGTTCAAGGAGACTTTATTGTCATTCACATCACATGTGGTACATGAGGTGGAACAATATTGTGTACTCAATGTTCTAGTTATACCCAAAAAAGCAATATATATTACAGTAGTAGAAATAAAAAAATAAACAGTATTATAAGGATCTACCAAAATACCAAAAACATGCATGTTAGGCTGCCTTCAGGCCCAGGCCTCCCTTGCAAAAGACATTTATAATCTCACTGGGATTTGCTTGGTTAAATAAAGGTAAAATAAATAAACAACAACAACAACAATAATAATAATAATAATAATAGTAAAAAAATGTCCACTATTACTGGATTCGGAAAAGTCACTAGTAATTGTACTGAAAGCCAGAGTAAAGACTGCCCTGAATCAGTCTAATCTCAGGATCACATGGAGTAAATCAGAGGAAAACAACATGATAAGGGCAATGACACAGATCTCCCTGTTAGAGACCCACTCAAGACATGCTGCTGTGAGCGTTAGGTAATGTAAATGCATTGTGTCATCACTGTATCTATGCTAGTTTTATTATGAACGATATAAAATAACAAAGCCCAATTTTGCACCAAACATAAAATTAGTTGTTACATTCAATCTGTTTCTGCAAATAATTCCAACATGCCTGAACTCTTACTAACATTTAATAATGTAAAAACTGGCACGTTAGGTCTTCCAATGTGCAAACTAAGCAGTTGTTCAATGTCGTGATGTATTCCTAGTCTTTAGAAATGCTGCAAGCTTTATGAACGCTCCTTGTTAGGGCTTTTTTTTTTGTGAAGTCCTTCAGCAGCATTAAGCACACACATAGTTTGATCTTTATCGCTTTCTGTTTTATATTAAGACTTTGAAAAATGAGCTAATGCACTTGGAGGGTTGTGCAAGAAGGAAAAAAAAAAACCATAATAAAACATGCTTGCACACAGACTAACAGGGAGAGGTATACAAAGTAAATGACCCACAGTGTGTGTGAGGCAGCCAGCTGAACACAAAACATTATTCTTTATTATGATGACAATGGTGGTTCTTTCACGGCATACTTAAATTCGTTTATCAGTGTTTTTCAGGCATTTAAAGCACAAATATCGGTGGTGTAGCTGCTGTATTTAATTGCAGAATACAGACTTCCTGAGTGTTTAATTCAGCCTCCAGCAGCAGTTCATGCAATCATTTCTTAGACATGTGTGTCAAATTCTGCTTTAGTGTAGAGAACTGTGCAGAATATGTGGACATATTCACTGCTTCAGCAAGTCTGCACGTCTTGTTCAGTCACTCTTTTCATGTCCATATAAAAGCATTTACAAACTGTTCAACGTTAATAGAAAAATAAGTTGATGGTCCGCTAACAGTGTTTCAAATTAAATGCAACTAGAGAAATTGCATGTCCCTGCGAAAATGCAGTGTGAATGCTTATTGCTGAAGAACTTGCTGAAAACAGCTGAAATGTAGCTGAAATGAAAGAACAAGTCTGAATTAGCAGAAGAAAGCAGAAAGAACACATATTTGATGAAAAGCTGAAAAGAGCATATCACACTGAAATTAGCAGAAAGAAGTTAATTAGGCTGAAAGTAATAGAAATTACCAAGAAAGTTTTAATTTATCTGAAAACAGCTGAAATTAACTAAACATTTTCTTAAACGCTAGCTGAAAGGTAGAACAAGCTTAAATTAGCAGAAGAAAGCAGAAAGGACACGTTTGCCCAATTAGGCTGAAAGAAGCAGAAATGGGCAAACAAATAGAAATTAGCAAAAAACAAAACAGCTGAAATGTACTTGTAGCTAAAAAAGCAGAAAGAAGCTGAAATTACAAGAAGGAAGTGGAGAGAGCACATTTTTGCTGTATTAGGCTGAAAAACATTAAATGAGTGCAAAAAATGTGGAATTAGCTGAAAAAGCTCAAATTAGCATACAACAGCTAAATAGTAGCTGAAACAGCAGGAAAAAGCTGAAACTTGCAGAAAGAATATGAAAGGAGCATTACAAGGTGAAATTAACAGAAAGAAGTTAGAAGAAGCACAAAAATGTAGTTAGCAGAAAGAAGCTGAAAGGAGCCCAAAACAGCTGAAAATTGTTGAAATTAGCTAAAAGTAGCTGAAAAAAGTTTAACTTTGTACAAGGAAGCTGAAAGAAGTGAAACAGAACAAAATGTGAAAAGAACAGTAAAAGGTTGGAAGCAGATCTAAAGATATGAACGATGTAAAATGAGCTCAATTCATTTTCTCTGAGAAAAAATGTAACAGAAAAGGCTAAATAGTTAAAAAAAAAGCTAAAGCTGCAACAATACCAAAAGTGAAAGCAGGATTGTCCTGAAAGAGCTGAACGTTTTGATATGACTTGTTGAAATAGCACAAAAACTGTGGAATGAGAAAGATGCTAAATAATGTATGGAAGAAAAATGAATCACAATAGAGTGAATGCTTCATAAACATTCACACAATAGGAGAATGTTATCAAAGAGTTCATCGACCACTCAGTGAGAATTTGAAAGTTCCATGTATACATGTGTTGGTGTTATGTAGATGTTGTGATCTAAAGTCTTAGCTGTGCTCAGACTTAGACAAATCAGAATTTTTCAGTGTGTCATCATTAAGACAGATTGTCCGACTTCACTGACTCGTCTGCATATATCTGCATAACCCTGTCCATCAAAAACACACTGCCATCTTTCTGCAGCCTTGTTCATCAGAGCTCGGTTTGTATTTTCAATTGCATTGGATGTTTAAACATGACAGTAAGCTGAACAACTTCTAAAGGGCCAAATCATCATCACATATCTGCCTAAGCTAATCAGAACGGCTGCAAATGCAAATGCAGTGTTGGTTTGATTGGCAAAATTTGACTTTTAGCGATTTCAAATAATTTGGATTAAATCTAATTAAATAATACTAAAAACTGTTTTTAAAAAAGGAAGGAGCCTCGAGAAGGTTTTCACCAGTATGTGGAAGGCTCATATTTACCATACATTGTGGTCTCGCTATATTCCAGTACAGTGTAAAAGTATTATGTTATCTCTCATTTCTTTAAAAAAATATTGGTTTCCAGAGTATTATTCACATGGGATTAGTTTTACCTAGGGACCACATGCTATTTGTAATAATTACGGAGATTGTCTGTGTTGTTAATCCCATGCAAATCGGCCATGTCAGTGATTTGTAAAGTGAACATTCCCCCGCAAATTACCTACTATATTTTGCTGAACTCTGAGGTCCTGTGATATGTTTAAGCAAAATCATTTGGAAAAATATAGAATGCGTCTATTTTAAATGAACGCGTTGCTCACTTAGGTTTTTTTTTTTTTTTTTTTTTTTTTTTTTTTGCGTTGGCTTTTATGAGCTGCTACTTCTTTCACCACAAATGACAGGAGGTGGGGAAACGCGCGTGATCGACCCATCCATCCATTATATTTACCCGCTTCTTCCTTTATGGGTAGTGGGGGTCTGGTGCCCATGTCCAGCCATCACTGTGCGAGAGGTGTGGGACACCCTGGACAGGTCGCAAGTCCATTTTAACCAGCGGGTCAGCAGACGTGCAGCTGCTCACGTGCACCGCCACTGACAACTGTCCATCTGAGCTTAACGTGGCTTTTTTGACCACTTAAACCGGCCGGTCAGACCTGCCTCCTCCTCAACAAGTAGACTAACACAATTTTATATTGTGCATTCTTTAGTTTTCCTTCGTAAAACCACATCAAAGCCTGAGACCGGCCCGGACTGTACATTATTATAGATCGGCCCGGTCGTGACAACGCAGCGCGTTAACATCACATCTGAAAAATGTCTGTAAATTTCAGCTAATTCTCAGGATTTGGTTATCCGTGCGAATGCGCCACATAAAAAACAGTCGTTGAGGAGTAATTTATTTATTACATGTGGTCCCTAGGTAAAACTAATCCCATGCAAATAGGGCTTTAGCAAAGAACCATTTTACTTTTTGGATCGTTTGTTACAAACAGCCGACCACAAAGGTGCAAATGTTTTTCTAAACTTTTTTTCTTAAATCTATTAAAAATACCAACAATAATACAGTTTAGGAGACATAAATTAATATTTTAGGGCTGATATTTAGCTGAAATCTTTGCTTACCGGTCAGATTCAGAACGATGCTTCTCTCAGGTCCTGTTTAAGCTCTTTGTTGAATTTTGTTTCTTAACAACTTGCAGATATATATTTCAGGTGTCACGATTCTTCTTTTGTCTTTCACTTGATTTATTTTTCTCGTGTTTTAGGCGCACAGTGATCAATGTGCTGTCATGGTCGCCAAGATCTGCACAAAATTGAGTAAAAAAGCTGACAAAACGAATTTCATGAAGCAACAGTAAACACTGAGTATTTTTTCAACATGCAGTATTAGTAATTGTATTTATTTAGTTAATTTAGCTATAAAATTATGGACAGAAGAATACTTATTTGTTTGTTTCCCTCAAACCATAGAACTGTGTCTCTCACTCACATGAATTTCATTAGATAGGCTCTACTGAATGAAGCCTGCAGGCAAATGCTTTGCTGTGCTCTCTCACACACACACATGCACACACACATACACACACAATCATTTTATCCAGTGCAGTTTGGTGCTGCCTCTGCCTCGACACAAGCCATAACCAAAAACAGTTGTGTTTCTCTTTGGAAGCACCTGGTCTGTAACTGTTCTCATTTCCTCTTCTCCCTCACTGCACTGTATGTTTTATTGTGCATTTTTCTTTCTGTGCTCTCCTGCAGCCCAAATAAGGAAATTAGTTGCAGAAAAACAAAATGTTGCAACTGTCAGTGCAATCCATTTTCTTAGGTTTTGTTCAACATTAAAATAATTTTGACGCGGTGTCATTTTCATGCACGTGCAATGGTTTTAAATTTGATTAACTCAACAACTTCCACCTCCAGCTACAAAACCAGATTTTTGCTAAAACTAGTCAAACTTATTAATACTTGAAGATAGCTCTAATATGAATACACACATGCTGACCCAGAAATATTTGTAATTTATTGCTTTAATTAGCTTAATTATGAACTCCACTGCAGGCATGAGTGGTTATCTTTAAGTTGTATTGTTAATTATTATGAGACATTTGCAAGCTCAAGGGCCTCTTTAAGTCTTTTTTTCAAGTTTATAATGTTCCATTTTTCTCAAAATATAATTTTTCTTTGCAATCTTAACGGTAACAGAGCTTGTAGCAGGTTTGCTGTCCATTGCGACGTGTTCTTGGCTTCAACGCTGAGTTAGTTTTCTCTATCGGAGTGGATCAGCGCTGCGGTTTCGCCCATGTGTCTTCTGATTAATGAGTGTGTCTTTTATCCTCTGCAGACTGCCGTTCGAGCAAGATGTTGAACACGGCAACGTGGCCCACTTGGGCGACTGTGACGGTAAGAGAAATCATTTTTCATCTGTGCGTTTGTCTACAAGTGTAAGAGCAAATGTGTCTCCTGTGTCTGAACCAGATCTTTGACATAACTCGGTTGTCTTCAGAGCAAACGGTGAGACAATAAAAAGGAGGATCAGCCCGGTTGTTTCATCCACAAATAAACACACACAACTCCCATTTTACTTTAATGTCTCGTAGCATCTCCTTTCTTCTTAAAGATAGCAACAGCATTCAACACTTTGTCTTTAGTTAGCAAGAAAATTGTTTATTTTATTGGACTTTCTTCTCTCTGTTTACTTTGTGTTTACTTGTAAGTTAACTTTACTTGGGTCTGCTGAGGTCTGTTTTATCTACATGTATTTAATTATAGTCAATCGCAGCTTGAAGTCTGTTTCCTCTCTCTCTCTCTTCATATCATTATGAAAATAGAAGGAAAAAGTAAGTCATAATCTCCACTGTAGATGCACAGAGGTTTTTAGGATACTCCCCTGACATCCCCACGCTTTGATCTAAGCTCTAATTCCAAAGCGTGCAAATTAATCCTTTGCTTATGAAAGTTGCCTGAGTTCATGTGCCGTGCTCTCTGAGCAGAGAACAGATACATATTGAAGTGACAACGAGTCTAATCCTGTTGTAGATGAGCACTCTTGTTTGATGCTGTGCTCTCACTTCAGATCTCCTGACCAGCGAACCACAGGGGGTGACCTCTGTAATTGGGGGCTGATGCTCACTCTGTGTATGGCAAACCTAAGCCACATATTTGTCTTCTGTGAGACCATGTATGGCACTTTACTGAACATTTATGAGATTACTAAAGTGTTGATTTTAGACCTCTGAACAGCTGCAAATAATTTCCAGCAGACATGTTATGCAAGCCTTCCTTTTCATTTATGAAAAACATTTTTGTAAGTGTCATAGACTTAATGCAGTGTCATATGGATGTAAAGTCCTTACATAAACTGTCACTTGAGCAAAGATTTACATAAAGTTGGTTTTATTATAAGTTGAGTTTAATGAGCTGAAACCCAAAACTACTGGGTTCATCTACTGGACATAGATAGTCACTATATATCTCTATAATCAGGTCTCTCTTGTAAATGAGTCCCCAAGTCTCAATGGGATTAACCTGTCTAAATAAAGGTTGAATGAATGTGTGTATGTGTGTTTTAAACCCTTCCCACACTCTTACAATATTCTGAACAATGTTTCTAAACACTCTGAGCACAGAATGTAATGATTTCAGCTCTCTGCCTCCGCTGCTCTCTGCCCCCACTGCTCTCTGCCACCACTGCTCTCTGCCTCCACTGCTCTCTGCC